TTTTTTTTTTAATGTATTTACATACCTCTAGTTAAATAATGTATACGTACATTTGATTTAACGGCATTCTCGTCCTGACTTATTGTTGATTCAGCAGCCACTTCCGATTTTTCCGGAATATTGGATTGACCTTCTTCATCTTTAATCTATTAATAAAAACAATGTTTATGTGAGATCAGAAATCATAGCTTCCATATAAATAAAGCAGTTCCGCTCGGTTTTAATATATGCACAAACATTTTACACCGTATATCAAGCGATTTTGGATAGTATTGAAAATTGAATTAATGCAGCAAGTGAATACCCTACAGTTATGTATGCTTGAAAACAATTTACGAAAATCATTTTGCGTCAATATTTGAAAAAATGTTTAGAGTTAAATAAAATCGTTTATACTTCTTCTGTCTTGGTCGCGATTTTCAAGTCTTCACCATCATCATCATCTTCATCATCGTCACTTTCTTCTTGTTCTTCTTCAGTATCTCCTTCTCCCTCTTCTTCTTCTGCTTCTTCGACAAATACAGATCTTTCCTTGAATTCACAGTCGTCTTTGGCAGCAGCTTCATTCGCTGTCTCTTTGGCGCTGCTTGGGGCATCCGCATTGGGATTTGATACGGTTATTTGTTTCTCTGTTTCGATATCCTCTTCTTTTTTGGGTGAGACGACAACTGTTGTTGTTGTAGCTGACGTCTTGATTTCCTTATCAGATGCAGCAGCTGGATCCGGCTCATTTTTGGCAACAACAATTGTTGTTGTTGCAGTTGCCGAAGCGCTTTCCTTGTCATCAGATTCGTTCTCCTTTTTGGTTACACCAACTGTTGTAGTTGTTGTGTCGCTTTCTGTTTCGGTTTGGGGATCTGCTTCAAGTTCTTCATCTGGTTTAGCGTTCTCGTTTTTGATTACAACGACTGTTGTTGTTGTAGTTGTTTTCTGGCCATTTTCAACAACACTACCTTCGGCCCTATCCAGGACTCTTTCACCTGCATCGTCCATAGCAACTTCCGGTTGTTCGCTTTTGGTTTCGTTTGCACTTGTCTTAATTTTTAAAATAACAAAAAACAATAACAAATTACATATGGCAYATATATATATTTATACATATATGTATAGCATAAGAGCAAGCATTCTGCATATAAAGCAAGCAGCATTATCATCATAGCCGTCATCATCACCATCTGTAAGTCGTAGTCTTTTATAAAGCTCGCGCGTACATTGAATGCAACAGGCCCTGAAACCTTTAAAGAACTGATATTTTAACAATATTTTGTTATTTTCTGCATACACAAGAATGAACGCAGCGGGTTGCAGCGTGGGCTTACTATGGGAACCTAATTGCTTAGTAAATGAAAGTCTCAGAACGTGATAATAACGTTCAAAGATGTACATTTGTCAAAGTACAAGTGATTAGTTACTGAACACAACTTGGGGTGGTCGAATTATAATAATAATCTACATTCTATAAAATACATATAAATCTGTATGTTCAATTGATTCAGATTATAATTATGTTACATGCCTAAATTAGAAACTTTCAGTGTTAAGAATATTTCTGCAGAATTGTTTTGTTTAGCACTTACCTCGACTTCAGAATCCATTTTCAGTAAAATCAAAGTAGGTTGATCTATGGAAAAGAAATTCAATAGAAATATTATTATTAGAATGCTCTGACCTATATTTTTCTCTATTTTTTTAAAAATTTTTCTTTTCCATAAACCTTCTGCTATCTGCTTCTATCCAATCATTCTTAACTTCACTTGAAAACACACATAAACACGCGCTCTGCTAACTCCGGCGCGGAATCTGCGTTTGGTCTGCAGTGTGGGAACTTAATTGTAGAATGTACCCTCTTGTAGTAGGACTTTCTACATGCCTACATATACATACATCAATTTTCGAAAGCAAAATTAAAACTCATGTTTTGTATTTGCGGAAAGGCGTTGTATTCGATATGCATACATTGCAAAATCTACAGGGGAAACCTAAAATCTGTATCTAGCTTCAACAGTATCCAAATTACGACGTAAATATTAAATATATATATATTTATATCTGTGCATATGCATACATTAAAAGAAGATTCTATTATCAAAATCATTACATAACTCACTGATTATTTGTATGCATACATTTTTTTTTTAATATTTTAGTCACAGGCTAAAAAGGACACTTTTTTAATATAGAAAAGACATCTATGGTTACAGCTTACCACTTTCAATTCTTATGAATGAAAAATTTCAAACAGAACAGCGCGCTGCAAAATCGAAAATTCAATTATCGGTCTACACTTGTATAAGATAACAATAAAATTAAAATGCCGTCCAGACTAAAATAATAACCTCGAATGAATAAAATCTACATATCATACCACACATGCAGGCACGCATGTGTATGTGTATTCTGTTCGATTTGAAGAATATGAGTGCACAATATGTTTAGCGTCCACACACTGTTCATAGTGTCCACATTCTATTTATTTTTAATACTGCCAAGTTCCTTCCCATCAACAATATATATGTATGCAGTTTTTGTATATGTATATACATATATGTATGTATACGTAACTATGTATGAATGTGCCTATCTATGCTTCCATGTACATATATATAGATATATACATTTATACATATATACATACGTTTATATACGAACAGTCCGCTATAAAAAGAAATGTACGTACAAATATACACATGTGCATATGTATCTATGGCAGAAATGTACAAATACATACTTTTATTTTGATGTATGTACATTATCCAAATGTACCCATGCACATATGTTATTAGAAATTTACATATGTATACTAAATCAAGTATTTAAAGAATCCTCTAGTCTTGTCGTCATACTCTTCATTAATGGAGTTATATGTCTATATGAAAGATATGTCTGTATACTTTAGGGAGCTTGAACTTTTATTTTTAGCACACAAGTAAGGAAACTAGCATTTTGCAAACTTTTCAAACAATAATTTAGTTATTTAGAAATAGTTAAAATATATATCAATATTTAGAGATTCAGATATAACATTATTTTAAAAATGTTTTTTACCACTATATATTTTAAATTACTGAGAACAATTTCCGTTACGTGTACTTTAACAGCTGCTACCTCGCTTTAATATCCGTATGCTAGCATACTCATATAGCAATCGATGTTTGCTGTTGCTAAGATTTTTTGTTATAAGTTTCCAATACTTACAACAAATAAATAAACTATACATATTATTAGATATAAGTAAACAAATTAATATTTTATTTTAATCTTTTTTTGTGTTTATCCATTTAGAAAAATTACATGCTAAAATATGGAAAAATACAAATATCGATTACATTGCAATTTATCGATAGCTCCACACAAATTTTTGTGATGAGGAATATTAATTGCTATGATCTGATATATCGATACAATAATCAGCACCCCTAAGTAAAACTGTGGTAACAATAATGTAAGAAAAACAAGAAAAAATGGGGGCAACGATGGTAAAAAATGGAAATTTATTGGATGCATTGCCTACACAGGTAGCCGCACACTGTCGTTCAACTATTAAAAAATGGTTAAGCTAAATATGTAATTACAGGGAACATTACACGTTGTAATGCTGGGCTTGGATTCTGCTGGGAAAACAACAGCATTATACAGACTCAAGTTCGATCAGTATCTAAACACAGTTCCCACTATCGGATTTAATTGCGAAAAAGTACGGATTACGATTTGAGAAATGGAAGAAAGGTCAAATTAATTAAGTTCAGCTGTTTGCAGGTGCAGGGTACCTTGGGCAAAGCGAAGGGAGTTCACTTTCTCGTTTGGGATGTGGGTGGACAAGAAAAGCTTCGGCCGCTTTGGCGGAGTTACACTCGGTAGGTAAAACAGATATTAACTATCAAAGTGAACACGCACATACAGTTGTGTATATATATATACTCGGTTAAAATGTAAACATGCGCTTCAATCAATGTATTATATCATATATGTACTTTAAATCAATATTGAATAATTATCCAGCTGCACTGATGGTATTCTATTCGTTGTGGATTCGGTTGATACGGAGCGTATGGAAGAGGCAAAAATGGAATTAATGCGTACAGCCAAATGTCCTGATAACCAGGTCTGTATTTGATTTGAAGCTTAATTAATTTAATTTAATTTAATTGATTTYAGGGTGTTCCTGTGCTGATTTTGGCGAATAAACAGGATCTACCAAGTGCATGCTGTCCCAAGCAACTTGAGAATCTTTTAGGGTTACATGAGCTACACTATCCAATATTGAATCTATCAAGTACATCCACCTCCACTTCAACTGGCAACATTGCAGGCTTTGCCACATCAAACCAAAGTTATACTAATCATGGCACAACTTCACTAACTGATGTAAATAAGGACACTGATAATAGTCACGTAAGAAGTACAGATAATTTCCAGCTTGATTCTAAAAGCACTTCCTCCCACGCGGATTCTAAATGCAAGGGCTCCAGCTCACCAGCCGCGCTGAGCAATCCACAACAGCAACTCACAGTTAAACACGCTAATTTAAATGTCAAGGGTTGGTACATACAGCCGGCTTGTGCTATAACTGGCGAAGGGCTGCAAGAAGGATTGGATGCTTTATACGACATGATTTTAAAGCGACGTAAAATTAGTAAGTCCCATAAAAGGAATAAACGGTAATATTGCCTTCTGTTTTAGCATCGTAGAATATTAAGTCTGCTTAGCACAATTAATTAAATGTACACGCACTTAACAAAAATAAAAATATCGAATATGTACAAATTTACGGCAGCTTTTGTGATTCATATTTTAGGAAGAGGAAAGAAAGACTTCAACATGCTGACTGTGAACCTGAAAATAATTTGCGATATACTTAAAAATTGTAAAAAAAAAAAAAAAAAAAAAAAAAAAAAGTGGATATTTCTGTTTTCTCGATACTCTCACTTGAGTGCGGATATGGGGGATATATTATCCCAAAAAGTAGTTTGCAGATCCGATATGTATGTATCTGTGATATTTAATATTTAACATGCAACAAGCTCTCTTACTTGGGAGCCTTGCTATTGTAAAACTATGTATGTATATATAATATATACAGGAAGCTTAGTTTATAAACATATATGTGTGTATAGCTTATGTTTACTTTGGTAATATTTGTATACCCTGC